TGAATTGGTTTGGTTTTTAAAATGCAAAGTGAGCATTTGTTTTGTTCCAGGCCTGGCTGCCCTGGGTGACCATCTGAGCGACACATCAGGCCTTTGGTGAACACAGTCAGTGAGCCTGGGGAAGGAAGGGTGCTGAACGCTGCTTATGCACAGACAGCACGCCCACGGAGCACCCACATTAAGATACACCCGTGGGATGCTTCAAAAGAAGTCACGCGAGCTCTGCTGTGCCGGAAGCCCCTCCAGTGACGTTGGGTGCCGCAGTGGTTCCTTATGGTGGCAGAGGTAGATGCCCCTTCTCAGGACACTCAGCACTGCCTGCTGACATTTCCAGTTGTCACAACCGAGGAGTGTGCTACTGGCATCTCCAGGGAGGCTGCTCCACTTCCTACAATGCACCGGTCACCCCACCGCAGAAAAGGAGCCCACTCCATCCGTCCACAGCATGCAGCTGAGCACCCCAGCGCACAGCGAAGGCAGCAGCCCACACGGTTTGCTTTCCCAGAATCTCAGAGTGGGGAACTGTTTCACCCAAGGCCACGGAGACAGAAAGCCCAGCTGGGGCTTAAAGTGACATTGGCCTGACTCTGGGTCTGGCTGCTTCGAGCAAAAGGCTCAGCTTAGCCAGGCCTGGTGGTGCGCACCTGTGATCCCAGCTACTTGGGAGGCTGAGGCTGGAGGATCAAAAGTTCAAGGCCAGCTTCAGTAGCTCAGCAAGACCCTGTGTCTCGAAATAAAACTCAGCTGGGATGTGGCTCCATGGTGGAGCACTTGCCTAGCAAGTGCCAGGCCTCGGGTTCAACCTCTAGTGGCCCCTCCCCCTCACACAGGACACACACACAGACCCTGTCTCATGTGGCCAGCCATGAGCACAGCGGCCACTCATATTCTCCCGGTTTCACACGAGCCCTCTACAGTCTTGTCCAACAGCTGCTGAAGGCAACGCGACCCCCGACCCCCAGTGGCTGCGGGTTGACCCGCTCTGCGGATTCCCCCGAGGTCTCCCACGGAACCTGCTGTTGAGCCCTGCAGTCACCCCTGGAGACCGGAGGGGATGTGCAGGAGGGAATGGGCGGACAAGAGGGCACGGGGAGGCCACCTAGAAGGCCCCACCCCGGCCCTCCTGAAGCCCGGGAGCTGTCTGTCCTCTGCCTGGCTCCCCCCACAGCCCTCCTGACAGAGCGCCTGCACCGCCGCCCTCACCTGGTCACACAGGGTCCCGATCAAGCCTTCCAGGTCCTGCTTCTCGTGGAGCACCATCTGCTTCTCCTCGTGTTCCTGCTCCAGCTGCATCTCCAGCTGGTGGAGCTGCGGGCACAAGGGAAGACCAGGCAGAGGTGAGCGAGCCCCATGAGGACCATCCCCCAGCGCCAGGCCCCTCGGGAGGAGGGAGGCCCAGGGGCCCCATCTGTCAGGGCGGTTGGGAGACTAAACGCTTGGGAGCCCAGGCTACTGACTGTGAAGTTCCAACAGAACGCAGGTCTCCCTCCTGTGGCCTCGCCCCTGCCTGGGTATCCTCAGGTCTCGGCACTCTGGTGCTGCAGCCTCCGCATACAGTGAGAGCCAACATTTTTATTAAATATACCATGGAGCAGCTTGCCACCGAAGCCTCCTGTCCACGGTGCTCTGCTCCAACGAGACACTCAACTAATAGCAGCTCATTTAATTTATACTTGGCTCTGATTTCTCAGCTATGAGCAGCCCAACCCAGGCACTGATCACAGAGTGAATATCTCCCGGTAGCTGTAGGCTGCAAAGCTCCCACCGGCCTCTCTCACGTGTATTATTTCATTCCTTTCCTGGCCCTATTTCACAGATGGGCGAACTAAGTCCCAGGGAGAAGCCAAAGTGCATATTCTGAAGTCGGAATTAGCGTCCTGTCTCCCGGCCCCAGATCTTTGTGCCACCCCAGACAGCCACAGCAGTGCGCCAGGGTTGCTCACGGTTGATTTCCTGCCACAGTGAGGGATAGTCTGCACAGAGCCGCCAGGAGGCTGCGAAGCCAATGTCAGGGGCTGTCGTAAGGAGAAAATCCCCTTTTTCTGACCTCATGCTCTCCCTTCATAAACGTGTCCAAGGGAGAGCATCGGGAGGGTCCGGGTTGCATCCTAGCTCATCTGAGACTGGGTTCAGGGCACACAGCGTACTCTGAGGCAGTCTTGGAACAAATCAGAAATCTGCACATCCTCTACCTGACGTAACGTGAGCAAGACTAAGGGCATCTGTCTCAGGAGGAAGGACAGGGCGGAGTGATGGCCATTTCTGCAGAGAGCAGGCTCATTCCAACACTTCCTTTTAAGAGTGAGAAACAGAAGCAACTGCACTCCGATCAGAAGACTAGAAAAGCTAAAGCTCATCTCGAAATAATATATAAAATAATAAATCTATACAATACATCATTCTATAGAATAATAAAACACGTAAAACATGTCCACCTGGTATTCACAGGTGTGATGGGGGATGGGGTAGGGGAGAGGGGGACTGTGGAAGCCAGTTCAGGCCACCTCCCTTGAGGGATTTAGCTTCCATCTGCATCTCAATACACCCTTAAGGATGCTTGTCCCAGCCTTAGTTCTAATAGCAGAAAACCAGGAACAACTGAAGTGTCCAATGATAGGGGATTCATTAAATAAAATAGAGCCCATGGTTTAAGAGGCAGCATCCACTACTGAGTGAAGATAGTGGACTCCAAAAGACCTTGACCCCATGTAGTAAAGATAATATCTGTGCAAATCCATACATGCACATGCAGTGTGAGGGGAGAGACGAAAAGGTGTTTACAATAGCCATCCTGGTGGTTTCTAGGGGCAACCTGTCAAGGGCCTGTGCTTTCCTACGCACTGGCTGCCATGTCTACCGAGAGTGGATGAAATGTAAGACATGATCTGAGGGCTGGGGGGCAGCTCAGCACAAGGCCCTGGGTGGTCCCAGCACCAGAGGGGGAAAAATCAAGAAAGGATCTGAGCAGCAAGGGGCCTAGTCGGAGGGAGCATCTGAGGGATTCAGAGCTCCTTCCCCAAGAGCCTCGAGGCCTGACGGGCTCCCGACAGAGACCTTGGGCTGATGCTGCTGGAAGGTCCAGAGGCTTCTGGAAGTTCCAGCTCCTACTGAAGGTAGGTGCTCCGGTCCTGCACCCTTGAAAGCACTTAGGGATCCCAGGTCTAGGTGGCTGCAGGAAGGGCCTGTCCCCAGCCCCAGGCCCGGCCTCCTCCTTCACTGCAAGGGTGAGGCGGCCTGCGGGGACGGGCCAGGACCTGGGCACAGCTGAGGGGCGGTCACATACCCGCTTCTGGCAGGACTGACGGATGTCCTCCAGCTCCTCCTCTTGGTCCTCCCGGTCCTTCTGATGCATCTGCTTCATCCTCTCTATTTCCAGTTCAAACCGCTGGCGGAGCTGGGGACAGCAAGCAAGGATGGGCATGAGGGTGGCCCAGGGCCACTCCCTCAGCATCCCCTATTTTATTTGAGGGTGGGGGGGTACTGGAGATTGAACTCGGGGGCCCTCGACCACTGAACCCCATCCCCAGCCCTATTCTGCATTTTGTTTAGACACAGGGTCTCACGGAGCTGCTCAGGACCTCGCTGTGGCTGAGGCTGGCTTTGAACTCGGGATCCTCCTGCCTCAGCCTCCTGAGCTGCTGGGACGACAGACCTGCACCACCGTACCCAGCCACATGTTTTCATTCTTACTGCACAGAGGAGAATCACATTCTCTCCTCAGCACCCTGGAAATGGTAGATAAACAGCTCAAAGGCTTCCTCCTTTTCTATGTTTACAACAGACACACCCGGGACCCATCACGTTCTCCACTGAGGTTAGATGCAGCCTCAGAATCCTTCTTAACACTCTTGAGATGAACCCAAGTTCAGGCCTGCTCCAGAATTTCACAACTGCTGCCTTTAGCATGGAAATTAGGTTGAGAAAATACAATCTCAGCTTCTCAAAATGTTGAGAATGTTCCTCGCTACGTAGGACTGTGGCGAAGAGTAAAAAGGACCAGAGCCCCATCATCGTCCCCGGCATAAAGCAGGCTCACTGTTAACGGCCGAGCTCCTTCCTTCCCGCCTTTAAAATGACAGAGTTTATGGGAAGATCATCCAAAATGAGGAGCCTAAGCAAGTTAATAGAATATTTCCCTTTCATTTTTCCTCGCCCCCTGGACACTTCTGACATCTGCAATACCATTTATGTCAGGCTTATGTGAGTTAACATAAAATTCCCCGGAAAAAAGTGCTGTCTGGTAATCAATAGCTCTCTACAAGAGGTCTCCAAGGACACGGGCCGTGAGGAGCTGAAGACGGATGAGGGCGTGAGTCAGCCTCCCCGGTGGCCCAGGGCAGGAAGCTAAGGGGCATTAACTCCCACTCTCCTGAGTCCTGGTGGGGCTTTCCTGCTCCCAGAGCTGAAGGGAGACCTGCTGGTGTCACCAAGAGCCCATGCGATCTCCAGAAGTGCTTGCCTTACTGCCTCCGTAAGGATCCTGCTCATTTGGAGAACACCAGGTTGCTACAGGATGCTGCATTTAAGGGACATCCTTCAGGTCCCCTAAATACCTCCCCGGACATTCCACATTCTGCAGGGATGGTCACAGGTTCAGAGCTGGGTTGGAGGCAGCTAGGGGGTTGTTGCCTATTTCACTGCACATGGGAGGGGACTCGGGCCTTGGGATTACAGCGCCTTCTTCTGTAAGGTCATACAGACACCGAGCTGCCTCAAAGTCTCCATCTGGATGTGGCATCATTAGGACTTGTTGAATGTCACATGATTTTCTGGCCACGGGGCCTTTGCACAGGCTCTGCCCTGCACAGAACTCTCATATTCAACCAATTCAGACTCATCCCTCAGCTTTCGGCTTCAAGAAATGTCACTTCCTCCAGGGTGTCTTCTTGACCTTTTCCCCAACCCTTCTCCCAAGACTAGATCTGCAAGTTCCACGTTCCTGTGACACCCAGCAGGACTGTAAAGTTTGGGAAAGCAGAGACCCTTTCTGACTCTGCATCCTCAGATCTACACGGTGCCTGACAAAGAAGAAGAGCTCCCTGCATCTGGCTGACTGAACATGAGCTCTGCTTTCTTCACTCTCCTTAATGAGCGTTCAAGACTCTCCAGACCCCAAACGCCTACTCAGGAGGCTCCATCCTGCGGGATGCAACGAGAGTGGGCGAGAAGCAAGGGCTGGCGCCACGGCTTCCACTGAGGTGCTTAGAGTTCAACTGCTTTACACGTTTATGTCACTCACCCATTTTCTTGCATAAGAGGCTCCCAGCCTTTTTAAACATTTGTCATGTAGGATTTTGCAAAATCCTACATGACAAATTCCTTTAGCGCCACTTCTTGAAAATCTGACTTTTTGGTTTTGTTTTGATTCTGGTTTTTGTCTTGGGCATAAGAAAAAAAAGCATAGGCCTCACATTTCCTTTTTCCCTCTGGCCACCAGGAATTTTAGAGCAAAAACTGGGACGTATGTAAGAACATATGTTTCTCCTATCACATATTGGCTCGCTGTCCCCACCCTCTCTTTAGTGTCTATTTTAGTTGGTACTTTTCTGGCCCAGACTGTTTTACTTAGAATCTTATTGTTGTTTTGCATTTGTCTTAGAAGCTGCCTCCTATGCTCCTTGGAATGAGGTAGACGTTCACACAAGCAAGCAAATAAAATGTACTCATCCGCTTCCTTGAGATTCTGTGCTACAGTAGCGGACATCCTGACTGGTTCCTTATCTCTTGGTGAGTTTCTATTTTTCCAAGATGGGCATGCCAATCTCCCTGGAGGCTGTGCCCACAGTCAGTAGCCAAGGTTCTCTGGGGTCAGCTCCCACCTCTGTAGAATGGAGACAGAACTCACATCCCCACATGGAGGTCCTAGACGACCTTGACCTTGCAGGATGGCAGAGGAGGTCTAGACCATGAAAGCTCTGAACTTCAGGCTTATGAGTTAAGATGTTTCCTGGGGTAATAGGGAGCCATGGAAGAATAAGGAGCAGCAGAGGAGATGCCCTCCGAGAGCCCTGCACATTTCAGCCAGCAAGGGACAGGATGTTGCCCCCCACAGGGCTCTCCCACCTGCTCCAGCTGCTTGATGGTATTTTCCTGCTGGTTCTGGATCTTCTCTTGCTCCAGCTTGCTAGATTCCAGCTTCCAGAGCCGCTCCTTCAAGCCGGCGACGCCATCTTTCCCCACGGAGGATGACTCCAGCAGCTCCTGTTTCTGAGTCTGCAGCGTCTCCACCTCCTGCCTCAGCTTCATGGTTTCCTGCTCCTTTTGCTGGGAGACAAAGGGGACAGCGTCCTGAGTCCCCCAGTTGGGCCCTCCTCCCCTGGGGAGGCCTCTGTGACCTGCTGGCTGGGGTGTTCCACTGGCCCTCCCTGGAGGCCCCGGCCCCTCACCGAGCCCCTGTGGGACACCAGCAAGGGCTGCTCTTTGGGACAGCTCAGGTGGCATTGAGGGAGGGAGGGAGGGAGGCAGAACCCGGGGAGGACAGCCACTGCCCCCAGAATTAGATCTTAAGGAAGCGCCTGCCCCATTTGAAAGGGAAGCGCAGACCTGGAACTGAACCCGCGCTCTGTGCCCACTGGGGCTGGGAGGAGACGTGGAGCAAGGGGCGGCCATGTCCAGATGGCCCTTCTGAGTAGGGAGGTCAGCTCCAGCCTGAGGACATTTGGCTAGGCCACCAGGGAGCTGAACTCCAGGCTCAAGGGCATGAGGTCCTGGGGCAACAGGGAGCCACAGAAGGGCACCGCAGCGCCTGGAGAGGCACCCAAGTCACATGTTAATAAGATCCCTCTGCATGAGCTCTGCACGGGACAGGCCTGGCTCCTGGACAAGGTGATAGATAGCTCACTTTCTGCTGGGCCCGCTGTCCCTCCCAGGCAGACCCCTGGACTCTGTGCAGGTAACTGGAGCAAGACCATGACCTCACACTCTGGAGGTCTGATTGTCAATGGGCCCACCACGGTTTGTTTTATGAGACACACTGGGAACCTGACTCCAGCGCCAGGCAGACCCAGGCATCTGCACAGGTGTGGGGCGGGGTTTCAGGAGATCCGGCCACCAGGAGCCCAGCCAGCTCCATGTCCCTAGTGCCTACCTTGACTTGCTGCTGGAGCTGCCCCAGCTCCCACCGCATGCTGTTGTTCTCCTGCGACACTTTCTCACGCATACTCTTTTCAAACACCGACTCCCCCAGGGCCTGAGCCAGCTGCATGTCAAACCTGCCCAAGGTAGAACATGTGTCACTGCACGGGGTCAGGAAACTAAAGCAGGGTTAAGTGGGGCTGGAGAGGAGGAGGCGGAGATGGGGGTTGGGCGGGGCCTGAAGGGAGGAGGTGGAGCCAGGGAGGGTCCCGCTCCCAACCCTCAGGGCTGGGGAAAGAGGAGGAGGAGCCAGGAAGGTCTGGGCGTGGCCTGAGGGAAGGAGGAGGAGGAGCCCGGAAGGGTTGGGCGTGGCCTGAGGGAAGGAGGTGGAGTCAGAGAGGGTTACGCATGGCCTAAGGGGAGGTGGTGGAGCAGGGGAAGGTTGGGAGGGGCCTGAGGGAAGGAGGAGGAGCCAGGGAAGGCTGGGCGGGGCTGGAGAGGAGAAGGTGGAGCTGGGGAGGGTCCCGCTCTCAACCCTCAGGGCTGGGGAAAGAGGAGGAGGAGCCAGGAAGGTCTGGGCGTGGCCTGAGGGAAGGAGGAGGAGGAGCCTGGAAGGGTTGGGCGGGGCCTGAAGGGAGGAGGTGGAGCCGGGGAAGGTTGGGAGGGGCCTGAGGGGAGGAGGAGGAGCCAGGGAAGGCTGGGCGGGGCTGGAGAGGAGAAGGTGGAGCTGGGGAGGGTTGGGCGTGGCCTGTGGGGAGGTGATGGAGCTGGGGAGGTGATGGAGCAGGGGAGGGTTGGGCGGGGCTGGAGAGGAGGAGGCCGAGCTGGGGAGGATGGGCTCAGGGTTCCAGGGGACGGTTGTGAGTGTGGCCGGAAGCTGAGACGCTACAGAGGAATTTCTTAGTGTTTGTGGAAAACACCGAATACTTATTAAAAACCTGATAAAAGTACATAGACAAAATAAAATTAGAGTAGACACTGATGGAGAATAGAAATCCATATGTACAGTAAATGACGATGTATACATGGAGCGAGAGAGCACACCTCTGATCTGCCAAAGCACATCAAGAAAAAAGACCCATTAATTCTACCGGGTTTGGCATCTAAAATTCACTGACCCAGGAACAAACCTATGTACACACACTCATACACGATGTCCTGTCTCCATGCCAACAGGGAGAGCCTCACTCATGCCATCTGGCTGATGCACTCCTTAGCCAAATTAAAGTCTGCTAATTTTTGACGAGATGCTGGACATCTTGTCCTCGTTCCTCCAGCAAAAGACACAAAGATGAGACAGTGCTCCCGAGAGCCACTGGGGCTCTCCTGAGGCACATCTGCCCCTCCAGGAGGGGGAACCACCGGGTAAGAAGAACTTCCTGGACTTTCCCTCATCCCCTCCCGGTCTCAGCCCGTCCCCGTCACAGATGAGGACACCAGCAGAAGACCCTTTGCCAGGCCTCAGTGAATCACAAAGAGAAAGTCCCAATGCTCCAGAGAACTGGATGTGGCTCCTGGGATTTGGGCCTTGGTGATAAGATGGTGCCCCTGATATAAGACTATCCCATGTCCCAGGACAGCAGCTGTCCTTCAAAATCTGAGACTCCTGAGAAAGCCAATCACATAAGGGAGCCCTCCTGTTGGACCACCCCGGGAACTTTCTCATGGGCTATTGGTGACATCATTCCAGAAGTGCTCTTTGCTGCCCCTGAATGGAAACAGGGTGACAACAGGATAGTAAGGCTCCATGAGTGCCATTCGCCAGGCTCTGCATTGGGGCCCCCAGAGTCCTGACAACATGCAGGAAGATGTATGTTAGGATACCCATTCACAGAGGAGGAGTCTGAGGTTCAGAGAGTGATTTGGTCTTGAATCCCAAAGTAGTGGAAGTGAGCTGAAGGCAGCTCCCCGGTGTCTAACTACCCCCCCATCTACCTGTCCATGCCCTGGGACAGGTGAAGGAAGCCAGAGGGAGCCAGTGACTGGTGTTCCAGAGGAGTCCATGAGCCAACAGGCCACTTGATGCCAACAAAAGGCTCCTCTAGACCCCAGCTTCTAGAACCCACTGAGAACCCCCACCCTGAGGCCAGACAGACTTGCACACCCCCTTCACCCCACCAGGGGCAGGCCTGAGGTCCAGGTGGGGCAGCCAGCCAGCCTAGCAACAGGCTTCTCTAAGAGTCTCATCAGCCTTGGCCGAGCTTTGTGACCCCGAGTAACCATGGCAACCGGAACCCAGCTCTCCTGTGGGACCATTCCAGGGCCCTCTGAACTTGGGAGGCAGAGCGGGGATGAGACTCAGGGAGCCTGTCTCAGCACAGCGTCCCGGGCCAGCAAGCCGGGCAGGCCGCTGCGTCTACAGCGTGCTGGTGCCTGGCATCTGGGTCCCCCCTCCAACCATGGTCACGCTGCCTGGATCTCCACGGTCAGCCCCAGACTTCTGCTGCCCACTGGCTCCCACTGAAGTGCGACTCCACCTGGAAACGCAAGGCCTGAGCAGAGTCCCAGCTGGGAGGACGCTGGGGACGGTGGAGGCACACCTCTCATTTTAGGGCTGGGGTCTCTCAGGACGTTCTTCTGTGGCCTGTGACGTCCAGGGATTCCTCTGAAATGTGGTTAGTCCTTCACTGGCCCCGAGACCTGTCACTTGGCAAGGCCACCCAGCAAGTGGCCAAGGGGGACTTGCGCCATTTTCTCCAGTGCAAGGGAGACTTAGCCAGAGTGCCCAGAGGGAGTTGGGAGAGGGAGCCGAGAGGGGTGAGAATAAACCTCTCTTATTTGGGGAGCACGCCAACCGTGTTCAAGGGTCATTATTTTTTCCAGATGCAGAAGCCAGCTCTGGAAGGTTCAAGGATTAAATGAAAAAAAAAATGATTTAATGCAAATGGATTTTGAAATCTCTAACACTCTCGTGGAAATACAATTCTGCCTGCTGTGTCTTGGAAAAGACGCACCCCCGGCAAAACCGCTCCTGGTCCACATAGGAACGTTTTTCTGTTTTATCCTGAATATTCTAAAAGAGAGGCTGCATTATACCCATTTGCAGTCTACGAAGTGTCTGCTAGAGATTCCCAGGCTCTAAAGCCTCAGAGAGCTGAGGGCTTGGACGGAGCCCAGCTGTGCAGGGGAGGGACCTCCAGATGGGGAGGATTTGCATGAGGAAGCTCAGGCCACCACCCCTCCTCTCCAGGCACCCCGGGAGCCTGGTCTGTCTGCAAAACCTTGTGCACTTGGTTCACAGGAAAGCCGACATGGGAACCGGTGTGCACACATTAGGAACTTAACATTTTGTTGATGTTCAAGTTCCAGTCCCTGCTCCCAGGATCTGAGCCTCTAAGCCCTAAATGAGAAAGGAAGGAACTCTTTCTTTTTTCTTTATCCTTTTGTCAACACTGAGGATAGAAACCCAAATTCAGTCCATTTGGAGGTACCAACCACATCATGGAGTCCTCACCACAAGGGGGCGCCTCACCCTCAACCTACAAGTATGGAGTCGGAGGTGGGGAAGGGTTGAAGGACCAGGTCAGGGTCACAGGGCTAGCGAGGGCGACCGCTGGGGCGTGAACCAGATGGTTTTAGGCAGCACCTGGGCTCCTGACCACCTTCCTAAACTGACTGGATCTCCTCCCACAGACCTTTCGTTTGACAAATGAAGAGATTGAGGCTCAGAGCAGCCAAGAAAATTCCCCAAGGTCACATGGCCATAGGGTCACTAGGCTGGGTAAGAGAAGAGAATCTTTTTGTCTGTTTGTGGCTGGATTTTTTGGGTAGTACCTACAGGAATAACAGGTGAGGAGGAGGGGAAGGAAAATTGGGGCCAAACCACGGCCTTAACCTGTCCTTCAGAAGAGAACCCAGAGATCCTAGAGGACCCCAGCACCAATGCAGCCCACCCCATGGTCCAGGGGACAGCTGGGACACAACTCACTTCTTCTGCTTCTTCTCCAGCTCGTGGTTTCGGCCCTGCTGGTTCTCCAGCAGGACGCGGGTGTCCTCCAGGTCCCAGGTCAGGTGGTGGCACTTCCTCTTCAGTTGGTGGGCTGTCTTCCTGGCCTCCTCGTAAGCGCCCTGCAGCTCGGCGAGCTGTGGGGGGACAGAGGAAGCACGTGCCTTCTGGGCGCTGAACGTTCCCGGGAGACACAGCTTCCGAGTGAGCGTAACACTGGGGAAACATTTCTGTGTCCACTAGTGTATCTTGTCCACTTTCTGGGTCACCTTCCGGAAGCTTCTCCTGTGGATCTCGGTTTTCTCAGGGGAAAAATAGGGTTGTTTTCATTTTTCCTCAATAAACCTCCTGCCAAAACACCCACAGAATTTGTACCCTGCCTCCACCTGATGTCCCTTGAGTACCAGGGAGTCCCTGTCCCCGTCCCCTGGCATCATTGGGAGACATTTGTCAGAATCAGCCATGACGCTGCCAAAACTTGCCCGGGAAGCCCGAGGGGGAGGGGGAGGTCAGAGAGTGGAAACAGTGGATGGCGCTGTGGACGGGCTTTTGACACACGGGAGCCCAGCCACGCGCCCTCCCCCGGGACACACCGTCCACTGTCCTAGTTGGGGCTGGGGGAGGCTGCAGCCCAGCACACACGCTTTGAAGAAATGGCCTCATTAAAGAACTGCTTTAAATAAGCAGAACTCTGAGTTAATGAAGCCTGTAATTCTAAATTCAGTATTTGGAGGCAAATGGGATGTTTTCTTATATTCTGTGGCTCAGAAAAGGTTGCGGCTTTATTACTTTTTAATGTAGCATGAATATTGCCCCTTTCCTTAGGGAAACTGACCGGCTTCATAATTTGTTATTAAAGAGCCGGACTCTTCCCCCGCACTGGCCCTCGTGTGGCCGCAGTCCAGGCTCTCCCTTGAGGATCACAGTGCTGTGTCCATCTCGGAAATGACCGTGACCATCACCACTGCCAGGGACCACACTGAGCCTCACTTCTGTGGTTGGTGGGATCCTGTGACCTCATCCACCCGCCTCTGCCGGGTGATGGGTGGTACCTTTCTCTCACCTTGGGGACAGAGCAGTAAGACAGGCCCCTAATTTAATCTCCGCCCCCCTGGCCCCTCCGTCCAGCGGTGGAGACTGGGAAGTGAATGGACCCCTCCAGTGCAGATTTAGGGAAATAATGGAGGGACTTCCCGTCTCCATCAGGAAAGACTTTCAAAGAGAGGCAGGTGGCGAGAGGCGTGGCGGGGTGTGCTGGGTGGACGAGAGCCAGCTCTGCACGTGTCGTCCAGATGCCCGCCCAGTGACGTCACAGTGGCCATTTGACAGTGGCGACGGTGGAAGGGTTCACACACTACACGAGATGGGAGACAGGCACAGGCGTCCAGCTGCCCCTGTGCACACCGCGAAAGGCTAGACAGCACCATGTCGTAGAGGAGCGAGACTCCATGACATCTGTGGTGTCTATTTGGTGTTCAAGAGGGAAATTTCCGGATATCAGAAATACAGAAGGTACAAAGTCCGAATGATAATGGGAGATAATGATATTATGGCAGCGGGAATGTTCTCCAAGGACTGGGAGTGCTGCTTGTCCAGGAATAGAGGGAAGGCCGTGGACCATGGGGAGGGAGGGATTCAACATGGAGACCCTGGCCCAGTAGGACCTGCAAAGAGCTGTGCCTCACGGGGAAGGCACAAGAAAAGTCCTACAGAACCACTGGCCTGGCAGGTGGTACCAAGGCTCGCTTCTGCTCTGGCTGTGGGTGGGGAAGAAAGTACTTCCATCAGAAATCAAAACTGTAAGCACAGTGACACACAGGAGGATCAGGAGGCTGAGGCAGGAGGATTGCGAGTTCAAAGCCAGCCTCAGCAAAAGTGAGGCCCTAAGCAACTCAGTAAGACCCTGTCTCTAAGTAAAACACAGAATAGGGCTGGGGGTGGGGCTCAGTGGTTGAGGGCCCTGAGTTCAATCCCTGGTGCCACCCCCAAAAAACAAAAACAAAACAAAACCAAATACTGTCGGTGTAGGCCTCATGTGGGTTTACAGATGGACACTTTTTCATATCACACAAAAATCTGAGGCCGACAACCCAGTGTCATCTCAGGGGTCACTGCAGAAGAACACACAACAGTGTTTCTTGCAGTGGGAAACTCCCACCCCCGCTACCAAAGACTCCAGTAAAATCAATAAAAAGTTTAAGAAAAAAATCTCCTCTGAAGATCAGCTCACAATAAAAACAGCTAAATTCACGCAGACATCACATGAGAGAAGATTTTAAAAATCCACAGCACAGAGCACCTGGGACTGTTGGGGGGCAGCAGAGGGAGGCGCTGGAGATGAGCTCACCATCAAAATTCACAAAACAAGGGGAAAGAACACCCGCCCAGAGAGTCGCACAGCATGACGCTCCTGAAGGCCAGAGGCTGGAGGAAGGGGACTGGTTAGCAGGGGTTGCTCTGGTCTAGATGGCACACGGAGGTGACATCAGCACGGGGCACCGGGAGCGGTCAATGTGACTGCTTTAGAAGTACATTTCGAGGATCTTAGAGGGAAACCTCGGGCCCAGAAGGTAAGGTGGCTTTCACGAGGACCAGAAGAGGCGGAAACAGGCCCTGGATCATTCTGGGTGGGCGTGTGTGCTCCCAACACCACACAGTGCTCAGAGCTCAGACCGGGACCCAAGGGGAGAGAGAACAGTTTCCAAGTCCCACAGGGACCAGAATTTGTAACAGCTGCCCAGGTGGAAAGCCATGAAACGGCTGGTGGTTCCTCTCCTCCTCTGTCCCCAACCACGGGTCACCCACCGGCCCACTCCCTGACACCTGTGGCCCAGACGATGCGCTCCTCTCTTACCTTCTGTTCCAGCTCTTTCCTGGATGTCAGCTCCGAGTCCAGCCTCTCCTCACACTGCTGAAGACGCTTTCTGAGAAACTCATTCTCCATCTGAGCACAGTCGAAGCGCATCTGCCACTCATCTGCTGTTTAACAGAGTCAGGGAGGCCAGGATGGGAGGCCAGGTGAGGAGGAGGCCAGGGTGGCCTCTCTTCCACTTTCTTGGCTCTTTGGATGCGATTTCACAGTATCCATGGAGCCCCGGGACCTCAATCTTGGGCTTCAGGTTAGGAAGCTATGCTGGCTAGCCAAGTTTATGAACTACTTCCTCTAGACAGCCTGCCCTGACCGCCTCCAGCTGTCTAAAGTACTTAATGACCCGTTGTTCCGAGATCCACTGCCTTATACTGTTCAGTTGCCTTTGTAAGTGGACTCATAGTTTCTTTTTCCAAAGAAATTCCATAATCCTTTAGGTTGGAGAAGCTGTGAGTCCTTGGCATACATGATGGATGGATGGATAAGTGAATAGATAGATTGATAAATGGATGGGCAAGTGGGTAGATAAACAGATACGTAAGTGTGTGTTAATGGAAAGATAAATGAACAGCAGGGCAGGTGAACAGGTGTGTGGATGGATGAATGGGCGGCAGGATCGCCGTCTTTGAAGAGGTGACCCCACTACAGACTTCTACATCGCTAAGTTAAAGGAGGAGGACGTGATATTAAGGAATTAACACTTATTCAATTTCCCACCAAGATACATGATATCATGGTGGGAAAGGAATCCTGTCACCTACCAGGACAAATTCTGAGGGTAACAAGCAGCATGACATTTCTGCAGCACCCCTGCCCCGGGGCTCCCTCTAGAGGTGCTCAGGGACGGGGCCGGAAGGCAACGCGGGCGGGTGAGGAGACGGTGCTCCATCCTTCAAGAATCAGCCCCTCCTGTGCCTCCCCTGCCCAGGGTGTCCCTGTGGGTCAGGGTGTCTAGTTCAGCCCCTCCTTATCAAGTCACTCTCTCCCTGGGTTCATCTGATCTCCACATTGATACTGCCAATTTCTCTAAAGTAGGTCCCAACCAAAGTCCTCCTGCAACCCCGCAGTGTGCAGCTCAGTTCTAGGTGCACAGCATCAAAGACTCTCCTTCACGGTGCAGCCAGGCAGAAGGAGGGAGTCTGTTTTTGGTAATTAATACTCCAGCTGGATCCGCAGAGGCGGGTGGGGGGCTGCGGCGGTGGCATGATTAAAGTGTCTGATTGCTTCTTTCAACTTTCCTCCCTTTTAGAAATGCTCTCTAATGAGTACGTATGACTTTCATAATGAAACACAAAATATTTGTGGGTTGATTTCCGGGAATGGGCATCCAGGGCTGGGAGCCTGTTTAGTGGGGGACTGCTGTGCCCTGGGGCTCAGAGCATCTCCCCAACGTGGGACTCCCTGGTCTTTCCAGAGGGAACCAACCGGGAACCTCACTGAGACCTCGGTCAGATGCAGCTGGTGCCGAGAGTCCCCGGGAACCCTGCCTCACGGGGCTCCCACACCAGGCTCCGCTGTGCTGACCCCTGGGAAGTGCCTGCCTGGCGGGTCCAGGATGCGTGCGGGGCAGGAGCACAGGAGACACCCAGCCTTTTTCCCCGGTGGACCCCTGACTTCCGTTCCTGGGAGTGTCCCGACATTTCAAGGGCATAAACTCTCTGGGGACACTGAAGGCAGGATCCTGGCATTTTAGAGATGCTGACCTGGTGGCTCTCCTCCTCACCTGACTCCATCAGGCTGGGGAGAACTAGGAGGCAGGGGCAAGCTGACAACCACGTCACCATGCCACCAACCCTGAGACGTCCCCAGGTGCCTGGGTCACAAGGGCATGCCCAGGAAATCCTGGCACTACTGAACGCATCTGGCACTGGAGAAGGCAGAGTCCCCTCACCTCGGGGCAGCCAGCTCTGTCATCTCTAATAGGGGACGGGGTGCTTCTGTGGAGCTGGTTGGTATGAAGAAAGGCAGCGACCCACGATTTCTCCCAACAATGTCGATAAAGCAGCAAACACCCGTTCAGCGTCCGCACCTCCCAGGGGGGCCCGCGATCGGTACTGATCATAACTCTCGCCATTTGAAGATGGGGAAACTGAGGCACAGCGATTTTGTTTTAAGCTGAAAGCCACACACCCGCTAAGATGGAACCCAGATCAGAATCCAGGAATCCAACTGCAGAGGTTTCACCTTTTTCAAAATTCATACTTCAAATATCCCTGGGAATATAAGAGGGTCTTGCTCACGGAGCCGCCATCTTTTATTCTTTGATCATCCAGCGCCTGTCACACGGATATTTATTATTTTGACGGAGCACATAATGAATGCTCAATAAAAACAGTATTTTCATGGATGCTCCTCTTGGCCAGCCTCCTTGCAGGATGGATCATCATTCTCCCCCAGGATGATGGGGAGAACCTGTTAAATAAACCTGTTTTCCTTGTAAAGAATCCTGCCTCAGATTTCACCATAGTAACAGGAAAGGACTAAAGAATGATCCCAACCAAAAGTGGGAAATATGATTTTGCATTACACGGAGCCTGTCCACTGTTGTGTGGGACGCTGAGGGGCTGTGCTGCCTAAGTCCCAGCCCCTGGTGTAGTGTGCAGTACATGGCAGGTGCTTAGCATGCACCAATGAACCAGTTAAGTCAGAAGACAGCCATGTCTTCCAGCACCCACCCCCCGGGGTCCCGGGTGGCTCACCTCCCGCCGCGTGGCTCCTCTCCAAGTCATTCAGCTGAATTTTCTGCTGGGCTTCCTCCAACTGCTTCTCTACTTCTCCCAACTTCTTCTGGACTTGCTCGTACTTGCTCTGGAAGAAAGAGACCAAGGCGAGCCTTGATTTGGAGATGCCTGGAGTTTGTCCACCTGAGCTCATGTGTAGGGGGACAGGTCCTCCTGGTGGCATGTGAAGAGGTAGGGCCTGGTGGGGGTCCTCAGTTCATGGAGAACTTGTCCCCTTGGAGCGGATTTAGTTTTGGTGGGACCGCAAGTTTGTTCTTGCGAGAGGGTTGTTGTAAGGAGCAAGGCAGCTTTCTGTTTAGCACTGGGCCCTCTCGCTGCCTTCCGCATGAGCTCTGGCCATGATGCCGTCTGCCGGTGGACCCTCATCAGAGTCCAAACCAGTAGTGATGCCCAAACTTGGACTTTCAGCCTCTAAATCTGTTCAATAAAACTATTTTCTCTATAAATATTCCTGCCTCAGGTATTTGGTGATAGTAACAGAAAAGGACTAATACAGGTCCAAACTAAAGGTGGACAGAAGCCAAAGTCAGTCACCTCATCCGTGGCACCTCTGAGACCAGGAATGCCCAACTGCTGCACCATCCTCACCCTTGTGCCTCCACAGCCAAGGACTTTCCAAGGCCGTGCCTTAGGAAGACCCACTGTCCCCAAGATCCTTGAGCCTGGAGTCGGTCCACCTGTGCACCTTGCTTGGGCTTATGATCCCAGGGCTGAGCACTGGGAGGCAGGCAGCCATGCCCTGTCACCCTGCTCAGCACCCTAACACTTACCTTGAGCTCCTGGGCCTCCCGGAAGGCCTGCAGTCGCTCTGCCCGCTCGCTCTCCAGCGCCTGGCAGGCCGCGTCCCCTTTGAAGCGCTCGTCTGCCAGCTCTGTGGTCAAGTCAGCAATCTGGGGACAGGTGGGGAGGCAGGGCAGGGTCACTCACTGGAACCACTGATCTGTCTCACCCCAGTCACCCTCCCCGGCACCCCCTTGGCCCGTTCACGGGCTGCCAGGGAGAAGCCATGTAGTGCAGCTGTTGACAGGACAGACGTCAGGACACCGCTGGCCTTGGTGTGCCAGGATTCCTGGTCCAATACTCACTACCTGAGCGTGACTTTAAGGCAAGCAGAATGCTTACATGATTCTCAGTCTTCTTCTTTTAAAAAGGAGGGCAGTAACATACAAGATGACTTTGGGATTCAGTGAAATGATCCATGGGAAACTTAGCACATAATAAATGCTCAATCAAAACAGCATTTTAATGGAAGCTCTTCTTATCCAGGCTCCTTGCAGGACTGATCGTATGCTCCCCAGGGATGATGGGGAGAGCCTGTGAGGTAAATGAACCTATTTTCTTTGTAAAGAATCCTGCCTCTGTTATTTCATTCTAGTAACAGAAAAGGACTAATCCATGGTCCAGACCAAAGGTGGATAGAAGCTAAAGTTGGTCACCTCATCCATGGCACCTCCAAGACAGGTTTCAGAAGCTGAAAGTCCACACACAGATGGACAGATCGCCCCTGCCTGTGGATGCTCTCAGCCTAGAGGTCTCTGTGGGTCCCTGGGGGCCACTTTCCCCTGCCAGGTGATACCCATGCACACTTAGTACCAACTGGGTGCATCTCCAACCTGCTTTTGTAAGTTGCAGCTTTACTGTAACACCTATCAACTAGCACAGGAACCTGGAGAATACGGCTACGCAAGACTTTCCATGACAGTTAGGCTGAATGTTTTGGAAGGGATTAATAAAAAGCCATCAAATCCATGTAGTTGCAAAAACTAGACGTGTAAAATAAATTTTTCTATTCACATGACTTGGAAGAAGTCTAAACTGAGCCAGGTACAATGGCACATGTCTGTAGTAACCCCAGTGACTTGGAAGGCTGAGGCAGGAGGATCACAAGTTCAAGGCCAGTCTTCGAAACTCAGTGAGACCTTAAGCAATTAAAGAGACCCTGCCTCAAAATAGAAAATAAAGAGGGCTGGTGACGCCATTCAGTGGTTCAGTGCCCCTGGGTTCAAGTCTCAGTATCAAAAAATAAGAAAAAAAAATGTCAAGACTGAGAATCGTGTGGTTGGACATTAAGGGTATGGATTAACGAGAAAAAAGAGCAGAACTTGAGTCAGAAGTTCATATGCAAAAGGAGGCGCTCCCACCAGGTCACCCAGGGCATGAAACTGCATGCGTCTGAAGTTTAAAAACAATCTTAAATGAATTCCCAGTTCTACTGACTCGATTTTTGCTTTTATTTTCATTCTTATTTTCCAATACACTGACCGACTATAAACGCCCAAGGGGTCGGGGCTTCTGTGCATTCCTGTTCTGAAATGCAGCCTTCAAGTTTCTGCCCCTGAAAGCACATTGGGGGAGAGTGAAGGCCAAGGAGCTCGGCAGTGGCGCTGCAGGGGAGGGGAGGGAGAGAGGCCGGGGGCAGCTGCCCATGTCCAGGGGCAGCTCGTGGACCTAGAAGGCAGAGGTGGGTACTCTTACCACCAAAGGAGGAGAAACGTCACTACAGGAGATGACGGTCTATTAACTGTCTTGACGTTAGGAATCAACTTGCCTGTGCGTCAGTATAGATCCACCAGCACAGCCCGTCACCACTCAGACAATACAGTCCACAAAACCACAGTCGAGAGGCAGAGAGCGAACAGATATATGGAAGAGGCAGGGTACGGGGTTCAAGTCCAGGAGCCATGACCACTGGTGTGTGACCTTGGACAGTCTCCCCTCTGGGGCTTGGGTCACCCGACCCGCAAAATGCACTGAGTTAGGTGAGGTCTCCTGTCCCCCAGCACGCTGAAGCTGCACCTAGGGTGGCCGTGCAATGTCCCAGCTCTCCCCTCCATCAGCTCCTGTGTCATGCCTGGTCCTCAGGGGCGACTGGGGCTGTTTTCAGACAGAAGCCAAATGGTGCCCTATCATGGAACAAGTCTGCCTTCTGAGGTGGTCCCTGTCGATACTGTCACCTGCCAGGCAGGCTCAAAATCAGTCTTCTGCCCCAAAAGAAGGAAGATGTAAACCAGGCACAGTGGTGCATGTCCGTAATCCCAACGGCTCGGGAGGCTGAGGCGGGAGGATGGAGAGTTCAAAGCCAGCCTCAGCCAAAGGGAGGCCCTAAGCAACTCAGTGAGACCCTGTCTCTAAATAAGACACAAAATGGGGTGGGGATGTGGCTCAGTGGTTGAGTGCCCCTGAGTTCAATCCCCAGTACAAAAAAAAAAAAAGGGAAGGTGCGCATCTGAATATTCTGCCTGAAAAAAATCCCCAAGATCAAGATCAAGGACCCAAGGCTGCCAAATAGGCTGTTTGAAGTGATCTGGCGCTTGCTTGTTTTTGCACAGAACAAAGCGCTCCCAGACTGTCCATGGGGATGTTTTTTTTTTTTCTTACAGGGATGGGCTCACAGGGGACTCCAACTTATTTGTGATGTTCCTGGGTTGTCAATTTTTTAGCCACTTTCATAATCAGCAAACAAAACACACTATTTTTCAAAAAAGAGGAAAAAATAGTTGTGCCACCAAATCGGGGACTGCTCTATTCACCCCGTGACCTCCATCCCCCTCATCCCCTCACCCCCCACCTGGTTCAGCACCTCAGCAACTGCTCAGTCAAAACGCAGATTTCAACAGAAACAGAGAAAAGCGGAGGCTCGGGGGAAGAACTGCAAACTCATATAACAGGAGGTGAGACCTGAACCCAGGCCTCTCAGATCCAAGTAAGGACCACCAGGCAGCTCAGGAAGGAGGGGTTCTCCAGGGTGTGCCTGGGAGATGGAGCACCCTTTGACCTTTCCTACACTGACTTTTAAATGCACTAGTGTGAGCTGACGCACACCTGTCATCCCCGTGACTTGGGAGGCTGAGGCAGGAGGATGGCAAATTCAAGGCCAGCCTCAGCACCTTTCAAAACTGAGGTCCTGAGCAACTCAGTGAGACCCTATCTATCTCAAAAAAACAAAACAAAACAAAACACTCTGGGTGTGTGGCTCTGTGGTAAAGCACCCCTGGGTTCAATGCCTGGTAGCCAGAAATGAAATAAATAAAATGCACTGGGGAAGTCCTTGGGTTGCAATTACCTGAGGTGTTTGTGAAATGCAAATTCCAGGACCCTCAGATTCCCCCCAGTAGGCCTCTGGGGCAGAGTCCGGGAACCTGCATTTCACCCCGCTCCAGGGCGATCTTGTGCACAACTAGTTCAGGAGTCACTGCCACCCAACCTGGGCGCACACTGGGCTCTGAGTGTCAGATGTGCTGATGGCCGGGGGAAAGCACCTGGTCTGGGGGGGGAGCCCGCGTAGCCGTGGCCGCCCCATCAGGCCAGTGCATCCCAGGAAGGCTCCGGATCACACACGCCCCTGACCTCCACCACCTCGTCCCTGAATCAGCCTCCTCTCCCACACGGGGATCGTCCTCTTCCCACCTAAGCCAATTAGTGTGAAATTTGATTTGTGCTAATTGGCCTGAGCCAGGGAAATACATGATTCGTTTAATGCATTGATTCTGAGTTTCACAGAACCCAGAGTCTGGAGCCCCGAGGACAATCAGTCCTTTTGAATTGAGGAAGTGACAGAAGGGCTCTCAGAGAGAAAGGTGGTCCCTGAGGTGCCCAGGTCCCCTCTGATCCCTCCTCCTCCACACGCTGTGGGGGGCGGGGGTTTTTGTCTGTGGGTGTGGGTGGGGGCCGTGTGCCGGGTTTTTTTGGGGGTGTGGAGTGTGGGGACGTGTGTGGGGGGGGCGAGGCTGGTTTCAAATCCAGATGTGTCCTTGCTCATTCCTCAAAGACCAACTCACTGGATGTCATTGTGCAAACATCCCTTGATCCGGAGCTTGGCCAAGGCAGAACCATGTTCTTCCTGCTTAGGGACCATGAATTCTAAGGGCCTGTGAGTGAGGGAGGGACAGGAAGGAAGGAATTTGCTGTCCATTTCGTACAGAATCGGAGGCATCCTGCACGGGGCTCTCTTTTGCAACCTGGAATGGCCGCAGCGAGTGGGATTTGTTGGAGGTTAAATGCTGACACAAATGTCGTCCTGACGCTGTCACCGCTGCTGGTCACTCATGGATCTGGCGGACATTCTGCGGCCATCTACTGTGTGCCGGGGATCTCGTGGTTGAGCTGGGGAGACAGGTGAGTCAGCCACAGGGGCACCACATCTTGACTCTGTCCTCAACTCTTATATTCAAGAATTCCTGAACCCACACTGCAGCCCGGGAGGGGGGTGGGGACACGGGGACAGAGAGAGGGCTAACATGTACCGGGGTGCAGATGGATGGGGGGTGGGTAGCTCCTAATGTTCCGTAGGACAATCAGGTGACTATGATTGACAGCCATTAACTCTATACTTCAAAATAGGTCATGGAGACGAGTGTGGACATGCCTCCCGCAGAGGAATGACGGACGTTGGAGGTGACGGCCTTGCTGAGGGCCTGGATCTGATCATCACACACTGCACACCTGTACTGACAGGTCACACCGTCCCCATCCATACGCACAGTTACTAGGACTCAAATACAGGTTTTGGAAATTTAGAAGAGAGTTCTCAGACCTACCCACCACCTCACCTGCAGACAGCGGTAAACAGTGGCCTCTCATTCTTGGCTTGCACTTCTCTGCAGGCACAGGAAGCTGCTCTTGATGACCCCGCATATCACCCAGAGCTTGTGTTCGGCACTTTGCAAAGGCTACTTCCTTTTCACACCTTCCCAGGAGGGGCTGCCTGACTTCCAGCCCTGCCTCATGACCACCCTCTGCCCTCAGAGCCTCATCTACTGTCTGACTCTGTCCCCCCCCCCTCCATCTGGGCACTGCAGGCCAGGAATGGGGACCCTCCCGGAACAGACCAGGAATCAGTGGCCCCAAGAGGTCTGGGTAAAAAGACAGCGGGCACCCACCGAGGGCCTTG